GTTCTTTTTTTTATATACTTGAAGTAAGTACCTTAGTGTTTTTCCTTGTTGTGTGCAACATACAAGCAGTATAGAATTTGTGTTACACTTCACAATTACCTTGTGTTCACAGTATTACAGTGAAGTAATTCAGCAATTTATTACCTTGTATTCTGCATCACAACTCAGTGTTGTCTGTTATAATTTTTTCTCCCAGCATTTGTGTATTCTTACTGTTTTTGTTTTCATTCATTTGCTATTTTATTTTTCTCTGTATGTTGAACATTCTTGTGTTAATTCTTTTCATTTAACAAGTGTCTAATTTGTCTTATCTCTACAGACAATAGTGCCATTATTTTGTGCAAGCAAGACAATTATTTTCCAAATTTTCGTTCCTCAAGTTTCATTGCAAGAAAATTCTAGTATTGTGTTTATATTGATGTGTTGTGTTCTGCATCACTGTAAGTGTTCAAACCTTTTTGTACTGTGTTTTTGCACCTATTATTTTTTATATTTCATTGAATAAATTCACTCTTAGTGCAATTTTTTAAGTTCTTCTTTTAAAGTAAATCACTCTTTGTTTGTTCAGTAAGTGTTGCTTAAGCTGCAATTAAGAGTTTAAGTGCTCAATCAGTTCATTCCTTGATGATATATTTTTTTTATTCTTGTAAACTGTATTTTCTTGTGTGTGTAATTTTTTTATCATTGCTACATTGACTCATTTTGCAATATTTCTTGTCAAACATTGTGTTGCCATTAAAATTTTTCTTGCAGAAATTTTGTGTAGTATTGTGCAGTACTTTTGATTAGTAATTGTCATTTGCAATATTGCTACAGTTTATTTCAGTGCAGTTTCATATGCTCTGTTCTGTGCATAATATTTTATTCTTTGTGTGCCATTTTATTTTATTTTTAGTGAATTGCTTTCCCAGTTTATTTTAATTTTGCACAAGCTTTATTGAGTCCATTTTCACATTTTTGATTGATTCATCATTTTATTGTTGAATTTCCCTATTGCATTGAGAGTAAAGACAACTCACTGTGCCATTAACTCATTTTAAAGTAAAGTTCAGCAAACTTGATTTGAGTAAAGTACCATTTCTCTTGATTTTCAAAGTGTTGCTTATTCAGTTGAGTATTTTCTTTTGTGAGTGTGACTTGTCAATTTTTATTTACTTATGCAGAATAGTTAAGTAATTTCTTCCCGTTTAAGCTTACTGTGTCATATATTCTCTTTATTTTCTTGCCTTATGTCCTTGAGTAAGTTCACTGAAAAGATGGCCCAGTCACTTTTGAATGTTCACTTAGTGTATCATGCCAGTCAAAGTCAATATGAATCAGTCCACAGTACCAATATTCCCTTACTGACTGAAAGACAATACGTAGCCCTTGAGCAATGTGTTTGTTCTCACAGCTTGTATCTGAGATTTGTTAAAGTGCTGCGAAATGTGAAGTTCAGATTAAGCTCCTATAGATTCGTTTATTACTTATTAACGTAGCCGAGCGGTCAGGCACTAGTAACTCTGTCACTCCTGTCTGGACTCCAGCCACAATATCGTGCACGCAGGATAGTGCTGAGACTACTATCCTTGCGATGGCGACTTGTTCAAGTACTCGTTCCTTCCCAGGGGACGCTTTGAGAAGAACTTTACTTGTAACGAGTTATGCCATCTCTTGCTGATGCCACAAGCCGTTGCAGAAAGACGTTTCTGTGGCTAGTGTACTCACTTGAGTGTTGTTGTTGTCCCTTGTGTTCCAGATGGTGATCCCATCCTCGTTGACAGTAATCAGTGCAATGTAAGAAGTTATTTCTCGAGTAACTTTCACATGTTGTTAACGTTTGTAAGTGAAGTTTCTTTATAGTTGATACATCATGTCACTGTGTGTGACTCAGATTGAATATCTGTATTGTTGACCGTGTTCATTTATTTTCTCCTGTGCTTGCAGTTTGAGATAGTAGATTCGTTCTCCCTTGCTCATATTGCGTGTTATAGCTTTAATTTTTTTCAACCAGGGAGAGTCATCCACTCCACCGAGTTTGTTCATTCCTCCAGTAAGAAAGAACCGATCCCTTGTGTTCTGGTGATTCGATTCCTGCTCCAGGAAGATCTTATTCTTACTGTGAAGCCACCAGCGCCCATTAGTGACTTTGTAATGAGCCAAGAATTACTGTATCGAACAGCCGAGTTGGGTACTACAAGTAGAAGAGTTTACCAGTTAGTAATTCCACAGTCACTAGTGAACGTAGCTCTACAGCTAGTTCATGATGCACCAGGTGTTGCACACCCTGGTATGGATCGTTCTGTGAAACAAGCCAGAATGAAGTACTTTTGGCCACGTATGGCAACTGACATTTCAGAGTATGTTTAGAAATGTAGTGTTTGCATGCAGCATAAAGGAAATGTCAATGGTCCTAATCCAATCCAGGTGTATCCAACCACTAGCGAACCATGGGAAAGAGTTGCGCTAGATTTGTTAACCAATTTTAAATGTTCCCTCCAAGGCAACAAGCATCTGTGTGTTATGGTAGACCATTTCACCAGATATTGTGAGTTAGTCCCTATTGCAGATAAGACTGCGGAGACAGTAGCTAAAGCGTTTGAAGAACGCATTATCTGCAGGCATACCACCCCTAAGTCCCTAGTAACAGATAATGGAGGTGAATTCTGTAATGAGATTCTTGAAAATTTGTGTACCTTGTACAAGATCTCTAAATCCACCATTGTTCCTCATCATCCTGCCAGCAATGGGTTAGCTGAACGAATCAATAAGAAAGTACTTGATGTCCTGAGAGCCACTATCAACCCCAATAGTGAAACTTGGGATGAAGTTATACCAGATGTTCAATGTGCCATAAATTCTGCTTACAATGCTTCCATAGGTGATACTCCACATTATGCATTGTATGGTGTAGACAAGCGCTTACCCTATGAGTTGTTATATTCCACTCCAAAACCCAATTACAACCCTGATGATTTCGTAGCAACTCGTACCAGCATAGCTCAGAGTGTTTTTAGAAGAATCCGTGAAACTTCATAAATCAACAGCAGAATTTACTAGAGTAACTAATAGCCGTGGTAAGCCGTCAAAAGTTAAAGTAGGTTCAAGAGTAATGCCGACAAATTTCAACAAAACATCCGCAATGCCTAAGCTCGATCAAAAGTTTGTTGGCCCTTATCGAGTTGTTGAACATATCTCTGGCAATCAGTATAAGGTTAGAAAAATTAGTACTGGTAAGTACAAAGAATCGCATTTAGATCATATGAAATTAGTATGCGATGTTGATGATATTTCTACCCAGACTAATGTGACAGATGCTGAAAATCCTCTTGACTCTGTACCCTCTACCTCAAATACTCAGTCAGATAATCAACCTGAATGTCGTTACTCCTTGCGTACTCGACAAGTAATGAGAAACCCACAAGTATCTTTTGTAGATACTCGTTCAGATCTCCCTCAGTCAAGGCATGTGTTAGCCATTGCAGAGGAATTCGATCCTCCCAGAGATGATAACCATTCTGCATATGTAAACCTCACCCTCGCAGAATTGGGTTTAAATGTACATAGTCTGCATAACTAGATGTCCGAGATGAAGGAAATTGTCAACTGTGTGCTTTGTTATTAATTGATCAGTTTTTTCAGAATTTTTTTTTTTTCGTGTTCACGTTCCCTCCGTATTCTGATAATTTGACAGTAATGTTCTGTGTGCACCAGATTGCCTTTGCTGTTAATTTCACCTTGTATATATATTTATTCTTCCTCAGAATCCGTAGAGTGCATGAATACAGATCGATCGATCAATTCCATCCTATATTATACCATGATTTGTTCTTATAATTTGTAATGCATTACGTTAAAGCTCATTACGTTAACACCCATTACGTTAAAACTCATTATGTTAACATCCATTATGATACCATCCATTAGTTCTAAGTTATATGTCTTTGTTATTGTATAGAATCAGCCCAGAACCAACTGCCTGTTCATCTTATAGCATAGTAGTGTATGTCGAGACGACATACGTAACATGACCGAGCTGTCAGCATAGATGCTGATCCCCTTACATGTGTTGTATATAGCTTAGCTGAGCATTATAGTACCATCCATGTGTTTATATAGAAGATCCTTATTAGGCCTAGTGACTGTGTGACGTCACGGGATGCGCATGAGTTAGTGGGACCCGCTACCTCGCCCTCACTCCATGCTTAGACATACAGCAGGCAGTAACAAGGAAGGCTGGGCCTCCCTTACCACAGTCTGACAATATATAGCGTTACCATCCAACAAGTGTGTTTACCTTCAACCATCATATCTCCTTCCAAACCCCCACGACAGTAGGATTATACAGCGCATATTGGTGGGGGGGGGGGGAGATGGAAGGTATTCAGGCTTTATTCAGGGAACCGAAGCACAGATCCAATTCCCTAGATCAAGAGCCCCTCACCAGCGTTAAGGAACCTCCCTCGAGAGGTCAAGTGACTAGAAACTCACTTGAAGAGTTCCTTGTCAACTCACACCGGGGTATGATGGGGGAAGGGAGGTTAAGAATGAGAGGTAACGTTGCCCATCAAATATCCAACAATCATTCTCCCGGTTACGCAACTACCGCCAATCATTCATACATCCACTCCCTTAACAAATGAACTTTCTCCTCACAAGGTTATTTGAATTATTATGTCTGTACATTACTGGCAAGATACTGACCGAGTGCTGGTTGCATTATCAAAAAACTGAACAGCAATATCAATAAGTCATACTATTTGACTTTGGAATATCTAGGTTAAATATTCATACAGTTTATGCCACTGGCATAAACGAGCCCCACATCCAAATAAATGAGACGATTAAATTCATACTGTATATTTCGGACCACCACTGAGGACCCTCATCAAGTGATACATAGAAATATATCCTCGTCATAACTTCTATTATACTTTCATAAACTGAGATTGTGTTATCAATTTATAAAAAAAATATATGTAAATTAAACCTTTATAAAGCTTACTAACTTTACCCCATTCCAGGAGGTCAGAGGATGGGGCAGGTAGCAGCTCACCTGGTCAGTTCGGGGACTACGAGTGTGACGCTCCGCTTAGTCTAGTGATGAGTGCTGTTCAAGCCATGGCCAAACTCCACCCCAAGCCAGATTTCGTCCTCTGGACCGGGTTAGTCCACTTGGCCCTCCAAGCCAAGCCATTGCTAGATTCAGTTGACTAGATACGATGTATGATGTGATAACCGATGTTGAAAATAGGTTTTGTGTGATTTTTTTTTAACTCCTCTCTTTCTCTCTCTCTTTCTTTCCTTTTACAGGGTTTTACAAGGTTAGGTTAAGGATTCCTAGCTTTATTTATAAGCTAAGAGCTGTTACCTATATCAGCTTATTGAAAAAAAAATTTATTGTTATGTAACATACAAATAGGGAACAGGATGAAGTTGGAGCCATCTGTGGGCCAGTAATTTCATTTGATCAACTGACTTTATTTCTTTGACATAATAATGTTGCACGAGAATGTTCCAGACAATAGTCATCCTGGGAGTAAATGATGTCAGATGAAGTGATGTTCTGGAGAAGAGTGACGCTTCTGCTTACTGTCCGTCTTGTTGTGTAGAAGCTCACTTCTCGCTATCCTCGGAGTGGAGCAAAGTGTGATACTTTGACAATATTAGTCTTGTGCATAACAATAAGGCCGCACTTATCCCTTCTCTCTCTCTCTCTCTCTCTCTCTCTCTCTCTCTCTCTCTCTGTACCGATCTGATATTTTTACTTAACTTTAATGTTGAATATACGGGATTTACAGATTTGTAGAGATATCATTAAATTAACTTAACAGCCTAACAATATTTTACCTGAATTTATGTAACTTGTGGTTTAAATCCTGTCATAATATACTATGAATACCGTATAACACTTTACTGATTTATGTTAAATTTTTCCTGTGTCCCAAAAAGTATATAATTCTGTATGTCTGTCCTGATGCTGCTGAAGAGCTTATTTTCCTAGGAAGTGGAGTTTCCTTCTTCGGATCCAACCTGATTGCTTCTTATTTCTCAGGTGGAGGAAGATGTACGAGGGATTTCTGATTCTCAGTAATAATACTGTACCTAGCAAGTACAATTTTCCCCGCCAGGGATGACACAGCTCACGTCGCAGACTCTTACTTTAACACGAACAAAGTGGTGGACATCGTTGGTACCCTGACGTCCATCCTCAATCAATCCTTCCCCACGACGCCATTCTTCCCAATCCTTGGCAACCATGACTACTACCCCAAAAACCAAGTAAGTTCAAGCGAGACTGGAGAGAGAGAGAGTGACAATATGAGAATAGATGCCTTGTTACCAGCTAGAAAATAGTAATTTGAAAAAAAAAGAGAAAACTGGACAGGAGGAGTTTTATTGCTAATCAGAAATCAATGTAGTTTTCATGAGTCAAATGCCTACATAGTAGGGCACTGAAGACTGTAGGACCCAAGGTAGCAACAACAGTGATCAACAACCCACCACCAAATAACTGGATACCAAGACAGAAATATGAAGACAACAACAAAGTAATGGGTGAAAACTATAGCAGAGGTAGCATAAAGAGGAAACAGAGAGTCCCCGGAAGTGTAGAAAGGAGAAGAGGATGGAGATGGTTCATGGAAAACGTTATGTCAATATCTTAAGAAAATAAAAGAGAAGAGGTGATTTGCCAGCAAAATTTGTTTTACTACTTATAGTAAGTACTTCTAATAAAAGTGAAATAGTGTAGTAAATGGTATGTTGATACCGAGAAATTGTGGTAAAGGACACTTGCGTACAGTTCAGGATGTTTATTAAAGGAAACGTTTCACCACGAGTGGATTCATCAGTCCTAATACACAGGTTAATGTATAGTGGAGAGTGCAGGTGACCTAAAGGAGAAGTGAGGAGAGGCGGGAGATATGTCCAGTAGCAGACTATATGTTGGACAAATCAATCCCTCTTTCTCCAGCTTTTCATAGAACTCCAGCAGGTTTGTGAGAGGGTTTGTCCAATCTGAACCCATGTTGGTCATAATTTATAAAACCACTTTCCTCCAGGTAATCCACAACTCTCCTAGATATTGGTATCTAGTTTAACGCCTCCTGTTTGCGACTTCTCTTAAATATTTAACATAAGAACATAAGAATGGAGGAACACTGCAGAAGGTCTACTGGCCGGTACAAGGCAGGTCCTTATCAAAACCACCCCTACCCTAAACTACCCAAGAATTTACTCCCGTACTTACGACACCAATCAAACCCAGCCCCTCCCACTCATATTTGTCCAATCTCTTTCTAAAGCTGAGCAAGGTCCTAGCCACCATCACCCTACTCGGAAGATTGTTCCACACATCCACAACTCTGTTTGAAAACCAGTACTTACTTACGTCCTTTCTAAATCTAAATTTATCCAACTTAAATCCATTATTTCTGGTTCTTACCTGGTTCGACACCCTCAGTACTTTATTAATATCAGCTTTGTTTATGCCCGTCATCCACTTATACACTTCAATGATATCTCCTCTAATTCTACGTCTCTCCAGAGAGTGGAGATTCAAGGCTCTAAGTCTATCTTCATACGGGAGATTCCTTATACAGTAAATCATTTTAGTCATTCTTCTCATTTGCTGCCGTTAAGATCTTTGGCAACTGCCATATATCTGATTTGTTGTACATTTTAGCTATACGTTAAGACTGCTTCTGCTTCCTCTCGCAGAATCCTTGGTAACACCTTTTCAGGTACCATTGCCTATGATGCATCCAGCTCCATCGTTATTTTTTTGGACTCTTTTTTTTTTTCCTTTTGGATCTCTGGTGTTTTATATGTTTCTGCTGAAAAAAAACTTCTTTAAATAATTTATTTAACTTCTCGCAGACATCCTTGTGGTTCTCGTGAGTTTTGTTCATTGATATGAAAGATACAGACCATTGCCAAAGAAATATTTCCCTGTATTCTACAGTTCAACAAAATATTGTGGTATCATCCCTTATGAAGCACGAAGCACAACATATTTCAAATATGAGTCTGGAATATATAAACTTGACAGTTATACCGGCCACAATATTGTTCATAATCTTAAAGGCAAAAGCATTTCTCTCAAATATACAGTGTTCTTTGTCAAACGAACAATTTGTCTTGAATTTTATACCTATGTTGGACAAATGTATATATGTGGGTGGTAGGATTTTGGAGTCACATTCATGGACACAGCCGGTGAACCTGTTTTTGAGCTTATGTACTGAAATGTTTAATTTGTATTAGCTGTAAAACTTTTTTCCTTCTTATTGGTTGGATATAATTTTGATGTATTTGGGGTTTGACTCATTTGCAATTTACTCTTTTACTGGAGGCACTTTGCTACTATATATAATTGAAATTGTGGATCAGTGGGCCTCCTGCAGCGTTAGGCTTTACTATTATCGTTGACCAGTAGGTCTCCCACAGAGTATTTTGAGGTATTACCTTACTTTATGAGGTATTGCTTCAGAGTTAGGTAGCACCTCACTGAGTGAGTTGTCCCCTGCTCTAAGTGAGGTATTATTTCCGTGTTTAACATATAAAATGTGCTTCTCTTGCCTCTCCTTCCAATCCCTGTGAAGATATGTGTGTAAGGCCACGAAAGCACTTAGGTGTTTTTCCTATTTTTTACTGTGGTAGTTTTATATATTTGCAGTCACACGTTTATTCTTGTGTATCCATATACCCTTGCGCTACCGTTCACAGGATGGATATGGGATGTACAATTAACTAGCCATTTCGGTGACAAAATCTAATCTTTATTCTGATTTCTTCCATAATTACCTATAATTACTTCTCGACAGTTTCCTCTGGGAAAAAGCGACCTACAGACGCAGGTGGCTGACTTATGGAGGAGTTGGCTTACCAAGATTCCCTACACGTCCTTCCAGACCGGTAAGAGACTCTGTTAAGAGATACTTCAGGTGAGAAATCTCTCAAGTGACAGATAATAACAGATACGAGTTACACCAGGTCATATTTTTCCTGTTTCATTTAAATATTATTCGCAGTAACATACGCATTAAGTGAAAAATATCTCCCTCCAGGGAGAGCTACTTCCCGTGTGAGTGATACTCTTAGGCGAGATAAATACCCCTGCTCTCGTTTATCTCTCAATTAGAGAATTCTTTAATGAGAAATACCTCTCTCCAAAAAAGAAAACTGCATCCTATTTAAGAGATACTCAGGCAAGAGATAACCCAGATTGAGAAATACATCCTAGCAAGAGATACCCTAGCTGAGAAATTCCCCTGGTGAAAACTGCTTGAAATTTTCGAGGTGGGAAATGCCTTACAAGTTACCTACCACAGGTAAGAGATACCCCCAGGTACTAAATGAGGCGACTGTGTTGCAGATGGTCGGTACTGGGCTGATGTACAAGGCACCAACGTCACCATAGTGGCACTCAACACGCTCCTCTGGTACAAGAGCAACGACAACACTGCTTTCCTCCCTGACTCAGACCCCAATGGCGCCGACCCTGGCAAACACTTCGCCTGGGCTGACGAAGTCCTCAGAAAACTTTCTGCCAGAAAACGCAGGGTAGGTTCATGATCCTAAGGAGCGGTGGTAGGTGCAACTATTATACTGCTGTCTGTAGAAATGTCAGACAAGTTTTAGACTGCCTGCAAACACCAGAGCAAAAGTTGATACATTATCCACAGACTTTTCTGCAAAACTGTAAGTAAAATGTATTCTGTAGTCATATTAAGGAGCACATAGATAGTGAAACTCTCGACGCTTGTGATGGAGAATGTATTTACACATCAAATATATATTTACACAATAAGTACTCTTGTAAACGAATAAGTGTGGAGGAGAGAAAATCAGATTGGTGGCAAAAAAAAATATCTAGGTAGTTAAGTATCTCTAAAGTGCCACCTTTAAATGGATGCCTGAATTCTTATATTTCTCTCAGTTTAATTAATTTTCAGTTTGAGAATGCCTCTTCTGATCGACTTCAAACTCTCAAGGCTCATGTTTTGTAACCAGAGAAAAGGTTCATGCTACTTTTAGCTTGTGCTTTCTGCTTAGTAAATAGACCATTATCAGCTTCCATTGTCATGCAATAACTTCAAAACTCCTCTTCTGATCGGCTTCAAACTTTAAACATTGGTTATTCCTACACAGGAAAACAATAAAACTCTTATCCTGTTTAGAGCGGCTTCTTTAATTAATTCTTCAAGTTTTATCCCCTCCTGGAAAGTGCTTTGATGCCGGTGAGGGGTTCTTGATCCAAGGATCTTAATTTAACTTCCCCTTCCTTGGATCAAGTCTGAATTCCTCCCATTCCTCAAGTGCTACGTGACCCTTAGGTTTTTAGCTTTCCCTTATTAAAATAAATAAAATTAATATGCCTTTTAGACAATAAGGTTAACTAGTCTAGACTTAAATGGAAATTTGCTAGTTTTCTCGAGTAGTTAATAATCTTGGAATCATTTTATTCCGATCAATAACTGATTTTTTTCTAAGTGGCTTAAAACTTTCAGTGATGGTGGAATTTCTGCAAAAAAAAAAAAGTGTTGGTTTCGACTCTGGGTTGTGTATGTTGAAATTTATCAATTTAAAAAATATGTTTCGATGCAGTAACTGGAGAATGTTTTTTCTGGCTTGTTTCAAACCCTAAATGCTAGTGAATCTAGATTCGATACATTTTTGGATTGAAATCAGACTGTGTAGTTGCCAATATACCTGTTTTATAAAAAACTGAGTAAAATGGGACAATTTTAAGAACATAAGAACATAAGAAAAGGAGGAACACTGCAGGAGGCCTGCTGGCCCATACTAGGCAGGTCCTTTACAATTCATCCCACTAACAAAACATTTGCCCAACCCAATTTTCAATGCCACCCAAGAAATAAGCTCTGATGTGAAAGTCCCACTCAAATCCAACCCCTCCCACTCATGTACTTATCCAACCTAGATTTGAAACTACCCAAAGTCCCAGCCTCAATAACCCAACTAGGTAGACTGTTCCACTCATCAACTACCCTATTTCCAAACCAATACTTTCCTATGTCCTTTCTAAATCTAAACTTACCTAATTTAAATCCATTACTGCGCGTTCTCTCTTGGAGAGACATCCTCAAGACCTTATTAATATCCCCTTTATTTATACCTATCTTCCACTTATACACTTCGATCAGGTCTCCCTCATTCTTCGTCTAACAAGTGAATGTAACTTAAGAGTCTTCAATCTTTCTTCATAAGGAAGATTTCTGATGCTATGTATTAATTTAGTCATCCTACGCTGAATGTTTTCTAACGAATTTATGTCCATTTTGTAATACGGAGACCAGAACTGAGCTGCATAATCTAGGTGAGGCCTTACTAATGATGTATAAAGCTGCAGTATGACCTCTGGACTTCTGTTGCTTACACTTCTTGATATAAATCCCAGTAATCTATTTGCCTTATTACGTACGCTTAGGCATTGCTGTCTTGGTTTAAGGTTGCTGCTCACCATAACCCCCAAGTCCTTCTCGCAATCTGTATGGCTAAGTTCTACATCATTTAATTTATAAGTACTAGTGTTATGGGCACTCCCAAGCCTCAGAACCTTGCATTTATCTACATTGAACTGCATCTGCCACTTTTCTGACCAAGAATAGAGTTTGTTTAAATCCTCCTGAAGTTCCCTAACATCTACGTTTGAATCAATTATCCTACCTATCTTTGTGTCATCGGCGAATTTGCTCATATCACTAGTAATTCCCTCATCAAGATCATTGATATATATTATAAACAACAACGGGCCCAAGACTGATCCCTGTGGAACGCCACTTGTTACAGATCCCCACTCGGATTTAACCCCATTTATGGACACTCTCTGCTTCCTGTCAGTGAGCCATGACTCGATCCACGAGAGCACTTTTCCCCCAATGCCATGAGCTGCCACTTTCTTTAACAGTCTATGGTGCGGAACTCTATCAAAAGCCTTACTAAAATCTAAGTAAATAATATCAAATTCTTTATTGTGGTCAACAGCCTCAAAAGCTTTACTGAAGAAAGTTAATAAATTAGTTAGACAAGACCGGCCTCTTGTGAATCCATGCTGAGTATCATTAATCAAGCTATGCTTATCGAGATGGCTTCTTATAATCTCAGCTATAATTGACTCTAGTAATTTGCCTACAATTGAGGTCAGGCTTATTGGGCGGTAATTTGACGGTAACGACTTGTCCCCTGTTTTAAAAATAGGAGTTACATTAGCCATCTTCCACATATCAGACACTACACCTGTTTGAAGAGATAAATTAAAAATATTAGTTAATGGTTCACAGAGTTCCATTTTGCATTCCTTAAGAACCCTTGAAAAAACCTCATCAGGACCTGGCGACTTATTTTGCTTCAGTCTGTCTATCTGCCTCACAACCATCTCACTAGTGACTGTGATGTTACATAATTTATCTTCTTCTAGCCCACTGTAAAAATTAATTACTGGAATATTGTTAGTGTCTTCCTGTGTAAAAACTGAGAGAAAATAATTATTTAAAATCAAGCACATTTCATTCTCTTTGTCAGTAAGGTGCCCATAGTTATTTTTAAGGGGACCTATCTTATCTCTAACTTTTGTTCTATAGACCTGGAAAAAACTTTTTGGGTTAGTTTTAGAATCCCTAGCAACTTTAATTTCATAGTCCCTTTTAGCTTTTCTTATCCCCTTTTTAATGTCCCTCTTAATGTCAATATACTGATTCATAAGATGACCCTCACCTCTTTTGATACGCCTATAAATTCCTTTCTTTTGCCCTAGTAGATATTTGAGCCTATTATTCATCCATTTTGGGTCATTTCTATTTGATCTAATTTCTTTATATGGGATAAATGCTCTTTGAGCAGCATGTATAGTGTTCAGAAAACTGTCATATTGATAGCTCTCTTCGTTACCCCAGTCAACAGATGATAAGTGTTCTCTAAGCCCATCATAATCTGCTAAGCGAAAATCTGGGACTGTTACTGAGTTATCGCTACTAACGTACTTCCATTCAATGCTAAATGTAATTGATTTGTGGTCGCTAGCACCCAGTTCCTCAGAAATTTCTAAATTATTAACAAGGGATTCATTGTTTGCCATAACTAAGTCAAGCAGGTTATTTCCCCTTGTAGGTTCTGTCACAAACTGCTTCAAAAAACAATCCTGAAATACTTCTAAGAAGTCGTATGATTCTAAATTCCCAGTCAAGAAATTCCAATCAACATGACTAAAGTTAAAGTCTCCTAGAATTACTACATTATCGTGCCTTGTGGCCTTAACAATTTCCTCCCATAGTAGTTTCCCTTGGTCCCTATCTAAGTTTGGGGGACGGTATATCACTCCTAAAATCAGTTTTTCATGCCCCTCTGAAAATTCTATCCAAACAGACTCTGTATGTGTTACTTCAGACTTAATACCCGTTTTTATGCAACAGTTCAAGCGATCTCGGACATACAATGCCACCCCACCCCCCCTCCCAATACTTCTATCTTCTTGGAACAATTTAAAACCCTGAATATGACATTCCGCAGGCATGTCCCGACTTTTTGAATTAAACCACGTCTCAGTTAAGGCAAATACATCAATGTTACCTACACTAGCAACTAATCTCAACTCGTCCATCTTATTCCTAGCACTACGGCAATTAGCATAATAAACATTGAAAGACTCTCCTTTCTCTTTACCCTTCCTGCTCATTTCTATTTTTCTACTAAACCTATTACTGTCCTTATCACCCAAGGTCCCTGGCTTTTCAATATCTATCTCGTTCTTATTATTACTAGTTCCCCTAGAACTCGTAATATTACTACACTGGGACTTCACTGCTTTCCTGCCAAAACCCATACCACTAACTATTCCTAGTTTAAAGTCCTAACTGCTCCCTCCACTGCAGTTGCCAGTGCTCCCACCCCACACCTAGATAAGTGAACCCCATCCCTAGCAAACATGTCATTTCTGCCATAGAAGAGGTCCCAGTTGTCAATGAATGTTACTGCATTTTCCTTACAGTATTTTTGAATTTTAAATGAGACAATTTTTGAAAGCATAACCCGATTTCAACTAATAGAAAATTTTGAATTGTTATTAGATTGTAAGAGCCAATTTGTTACATGTTAATACAATCTCTCAGTTGTCCTTGTGTCGTAGCTCATAAAAAGCTTGAAATTTAATTTTCTTAAAAACAACAACTACATACTATTAAACCAAAGGAAGATATATCTGGTGATTCGTAACTAAGAATTGCATATTTGTTTCAGGTGTACATCATCGGTCATATCCCACCCGGGAAGTTCGAGAGATACCAGCAAACTAAGGAGGGATTCCACTGGTTCCAGCCCCGCTACAACGATCGTTTTATTCAGGTAATTTTCTTTTGTCTGTACTCATGACTTCTATACAGGTACCTCCTAACCCTTTATCCAGATGCCTAATATCCATCCAGGTATGTGACTTTCATTTAGTTACCTGATTTCCATTTTCGTACCTGACCGCCACTCCACGTATCTGAAGTCTATCCAGGTATCTGACCCTCTTTCACGTAGCCCTGAAAGTGTCTCTTAAGTTTATCAAAGTTAAAACTTTTGGTCGACAAACAGTCTAATAGTAAAAAATGCAGTTTAATCTACATTTGACTTACTTCTCTACAGATGATACAAAACCACTCCGACGTTATAGAAGCGCAGTTCTTCGCCCACCACCACACAGACTCCTTCAGGTAAGTGATATACGCCTTACTCTTCATGTACAATGACCAGTAATACATAATTGATGAACCTAAGGAGCTCACAAAGGGGTGGTTCCTGCTTCCTGACTTTATGACACATCTATGATGCTACTGTTGGCTAAAGATGTTTAATGTGAGCACCTGACTGTGTAAAAGACTGAAAGTACGTAACTTAGGGACAACTGTGTTGGGAGAGTTATCTATGTTAAGATAACTCTTGATTTAGTGTATTGATGTTATAATATGTGAGAGTTATTAATATATACAGAATTTCAGTGGATGTAATATTGTTAATGTAATAAATTTTTAACGTTATTTTTTCCCTGTGTCAGAGCATTTTTGGGTCACACATTTTATTTGTTATTTTTCTGGTAAATGCTATGTGCATGTTTTGGCATTTAATTTGTGTTGCCGTTTATAGCCTGTTAATTAATTTGCAGTCAGTGATATTTGTAATTAATAAATAACTACCGTTGTGTCAGAAGATGAAAGTATAAACCTCTCGTGTTTTATAGCTGTTAACAGAAATTCACCAGTGAAGATGTCTGCTGATGTCGACGTGTCAGTGGCTCATTACTTTGTAATTTGTTCATGATTGTAACCATGTAGGAGTGTAGATGGTTCATTACCTTTGTAACTTGCCATGATTGTGACCAGATCTACCTGAAGTTCATTACTTTTGTAACTAGTTCAGCTATCATAACTTTGGGGTCCAGTCCCCGGACCCATTATGTACCTCTGCAGTCTTTTGACTACCACCCACAGGATGGGTTTGGGGTGCATAATAAACATATTAAACTAACTTACTGCTGATAGTAGTCGTTCAGCATCAACAGCTTTAGGTGACCATGAAACGGGTGATGAGACTTAAGCTAGCCTTGGTGCAAGCTGAAAAATCTAGAATTTATGCTGAAGAATCTAATATTCAGCAAGAAAGAGAATTAGATACTAAATTTCAGCAAGAGAGAAGGAAAGACAAGTCCAACTTCTACAAGGTTCAGGGCAGAGACCTCAGCAGTTTTAAACTTAGTTAAGGTTGGTAATTTTTTTCCAATTTTACAGGAGACCTTGACAGGTTATTTTTACTATTTGAGAAAGTAACTGAAACACAAAAGTGTCCACATGAGTGGACTACTCTCGTACGCAGCTTTCTGTTAAAGGCTTACAAATACTGAATACTCTCGAGGGAAATAATTTTTCTGATTATTTTACCTCGACATTTATAATGGTCTCAGACTCTCTTAGTGTTTTGCAAAATTTGATTCACCTCTTCCCCTGGATCTTCGTATAAAAGTACGGTTACGCCGCATTTCTAGCAAAAACAAAGATATTGTTTTCTGTTGGGTACCTGATTAGGGGAATGAACAAGCAGACTCTGCTGCGCGGTCAGCAGTATATGGCCTCCCAGTTTCAAATAGAAGTCTTCCATTCTCACATTATTTTACTGTAATCTCTAACCATCTTCGCAACCGGTGGCAACAACGTTGGTCCAATGTGATTCATAACAAATTACATTCTATCAAACCAAGTTAAGGTTTCTGGATTTCTTACCATCGATGCCGAGGCTGGAAGACTATGCTCTCCCACCTTCGCATCGGACACACCCGTCTTACTCATAAGTATCTCATGGAGACGCCCGCTGTCTCACTCTGTGAGAACTGTCAGGTTCTAATTTCGGTTTGCCATATTCTATTGGACTGTCCTATCTTTCCACGAGCATAGTGAATTTACCTCCGACGTCTTCACCAATCTAACACTCTTACTGTTTCTTCTCTCCTCGCTGTCGGCCGCACCTTCCACTCAGACTCCATCTTTGACTTTTTGACAGCAACTAATTCATTACACAAACTCTGATAATACTTCTTTTTGCACTCCTCACAGCCCTTTATATTTCTACTTCTGTTATCCTTTCCAACCTTGCTACTGTATAATCTGGCAACACCCCGTATCCTACAGCACTGTATAACCCTATTGTGTTTAGCGCTTATTTTGATAATAATAATAATAATAATTATAATTATAATAATAATAATAAGAAGAAGAAGTGGTATTACTTGCATGCCAAATGCTTCCGTAGGAAAACTGGCAAAGATTCAGTAATTTGAAATTTCAGAATGGACATTTCAAAAGTGTAAATGAGACCTTGAAGAAATTAGTAGACTCTCTCCTTTTAAAAGAACTAAATATAACACTATCCGTTGACCTCAGAAGTTATTTGGTGGAAAGAGGATCAAAATATTTTTAATTAGGTGAGAAATTCCTAGCTAAGAATAAGTAAGAATATTTAATCATTCTCATTTTGAATTTTCTCCTACTCATTATAAACCTAATTCTAAATTTTATGGTCAGAAAGAAAATAAGTCAGATAAGCAAAGGGCAAAATCAATGGTAAATTTAAAGGAGCTCAAGCCTCGACTAATTTAAACCCAGATAAATTTCCCATATACATGTAGGTTAACACCAGTTTTAGGTTTAAAGGTAAGGACAATTCTAAAATTTACACTTGTTTTTATTACAAAAGTAATTACCATGTTCAAAATGTTTACTGGAACAAATTGCTGGATAAGACAGCAAGAAAACTCACCCAGGTAACTATTGTTACTGAGATACACTCAGTGACCAGTGTTAAGTCTTCACATAACAGTGAGGAGTCTTTGTACAGTTTGACCAAACATTGAGAGCATGTTCTATTAAAGTGGTTCTTAGCCTTGATGAAGGTACTGAACCCAACAAGTCTCATCCGTGTATTCACCGAACCTTCGTAATTAGAAAAATGAAATATGATTTCTTCAAAATATGATTCAAAACTGCAAATCAATGTGACTGTTGCTGTTGCCTTTCAGAGATAAGTTGAGAAATGCCCGGCTTCACCTTGGCACATGCCACTCACATATCATTTTCACAACAAAGTCTGTTCCTTTTCTTCGTGTTGATGTCTACCATTCTGGACAAGGATTGCTCGCAAAGATACGTTGTAACAAACGCCGCCTGAGTATCTCAAGGGGTTTCTTAGGAATAAGAGGCTACGCTACGATTTTGTGACATCAAACTTTGAGAGCGTTGTTGTTCTGAAGAGTTTCTGTTGAACCTGGCTCTGCTGAAGTTCGATGATTTCGTCGAGGTATTCATCATTGACATCTGCTGTCGCAACACTGAACGTGAGTCGCTGTCTCACCCATGCTGGATATGACTCTGGTGGGGAAGTATCCGTCGAGAGACTTTGCAAGCACATCTAAGTGCATGGCAACTGGTTGCTTCAGTTCTCCGGGTACAGAAATGTCTCCAATTCCAGACACGTTTTCGATCTGACACAGTCGTCCAGACCTCCGCTGAACACCTGAGACTGACTCACCAAGCCCCTGTGGTTCGATCAAACCCAGGTTAAGAACCACTGTTCTAGTATGTCCACTGTTGCTTAACATCAGGATCAGGATATGAGCAGGGCTGAGAATGTACTGTTTTCAAGAGATGATTGTTACACTTATACTTTATTACGTGTTAGCATTAGAGCCAATACCAGAACATATATTAAAATCACGATTTTGTGGATCTTTTATAATCAAGCAGAATGTGTCTGACGTCAACTATGTTATTAAGATGCTTGGAAGTTACAAATCCGAGAAAATCGTGCACATCAACCTGCTGAAAAAAAATATAAGAGAGCAATGTTACTGCTATATATGGTGATGACAGAGTGTTAGATGCTGTAGGATCTCCTGTAGCAACGGAGGTGCGACTCTGTAAGTCATTTATTTTAAAGACCTACAATGTTTGTGAATGGTTTTATTGTACAGAGGGTTATGACTTGGTTCAGCTGCATCAGAGTTTTCCCGATTTGTTTGGAGATGTGCCTAAAGTAAATAATTTACGACCTCATGATGTGGACATTGGACAGTGAACCTCCTATTGTATGAACCATAAGAAATTTTACCTGGAGGTGAACCTCCTCCTGCAACACAACTTTATAGTGCCTGGTAAGAATCAGAGGGCATCCTCTTGGTTGGTGGTTCCTAAACCAGGTGGATCCCTGTGTATGTGCTCTGACTATTGTTGAGTCAGTGTAGTGACAAAACTGACGGATATCCTTTTCCACGCATGGATGTTATGATTGATGCTGTGGAAGGGGCAAATTCTCCAGAAGTTTCCAGCGCCATGTAAATGCTTTATTACGGGGTTAGACAGTGTGAGAGCATATTTAAATGATAGTGTAATTTTTATTGACCATTGGGGTTCACATTTGGAAAGACTGTGTAAGCTATTGGAATAGCTGACTCAAGCTTACTTAACAGTAAATATAAGTTAAAGCGAGATTGGCCAGTCCACTATACAATTTTTAGCACCTGTTGTGGGCCAAGCAAGTAGCCCCAGTTAATGCCATTGTGAACGCTATTGTTAATTTCCTTGTGCCACAAAACGGAAAAGAGGTGATGAGGTTTTTGGGCATGGTTGGCTATTATAGGTACTTTTGTTCCAGCCTATTCCAGGTAATATAATTTCACACTGAGACAAGTGCCAAAATGCATTTGAGAACATGAAACTCTTAGGAGTGCCCTTATTTAAAAAATCCTCTTCGTGAACACTCTCTTACCTTGCAAGTTGAAGCTGGTGATGCAGAAGTGGGTGAAATGTTATTGCAGACTGATAAGAAATAACGTGGTTTACCTATTAATGAGTTTATGTCTATATTCTATTTAGTATTAAAATTTAAATATATGTTTTATAATCAGCTTGTGGTTCGAGTGCCGTATTTTAGCAAGAAATCTTCTCCTGAATATTATTTTATACCCTAGAATTACAATTGTATTGTGTGTGGTCAGATGAAGTAAGATTTTCACTTATTACTTAAGACTTAATATCTGTGAAATAATAACCCTAGGCTAATACAACAGTAAATATAAAAAGATTAGCAATATATAGTTATAAAATAATAATAACCTTTATTTTACAAGTACAAGTACAAGGTACACGGGCCTAGCTCATTAGGCTGTATT